TGGAAGGTTGCAGCCCAGAGCTTTTTTCATTAATGATTCTACCTGCTCAAAAAAGTGGGGCAATGAAAATTTCCTGAGGATTAAAGAGTAAAGGAGACTTTCATCAATTTGATTCTAATAAATGAGAATTTTATAACCAGACATAACATTCATAGCACCTATTTCTTAAAGAGGCAAGACTCTCCTGGCTGCCTTTTTAACAGACCACCCCTCACCTGCTCTCAGAAATTCACCTAGCCATCCTCCTCATTCTCTTCTCAGCCTTATTTCAAAATCCAACCATACTGGGTCACTTTGAAAACCCAAATGCCTTCATATACAAGGCTTAAATGATATAGGTGTGTTGTGCAATATTTTGGAACACATAGCAAATGAAAGAAAGCTGTTTTGAAGACCTGCATTCCAAATAAAGTAACATTTTTTCAAGTTTTTTTCTGAAATAAAGGAATCTGCACCCAAAATTTTAGACTTGCTTTGGACAGTATTATCTAAAGGCAACTTTGTGGCAAATTGATAAATATCTAAACCTCACCTAAGTTTAAAAAGAAATACTAGATTGAAAGAAACTGCAGTTCCAACATTCCAGCTGCTCACCCATATCAGTGCTTCTAAAAGAAACACAGGAGTAAGACATCGGATGTTATGATAATGTTTTCCACATAGAGTGATACCTCGGTACTCATGGTTAACTGACTTAGAGTGGGGGGGAACGCAACATGTACCAAAAACAATAATAACTAAACAAATTTCTCCCATAAGGAATAATGTAAATAAATGTAATGTGTTCCCAAACCAAAGACAATGCACATTTTAAAGGCAATACATAAAAAGGTAGGGTTGTATATCATTACTTTACATGAGAAATAAGCCTAAAAATTAATAAATCCTTAGATTAAATAAAATAAAAACTTCATTTTACCTGTACTGATAAGGGGAAAAAAGGGGCAAAAATACACAAAATGACCACAGAAGCTAAGACAAGACTGCAAGGGGATGTGCACAGGGAAAGAGCTACCCCATGACTAACGCGTCATCCTTTGTTTCGGCTGGAAGTCACAAGGCAACTGATATCAACAAGTCCTAGCTTTGTATCAAGTATCAAACAAACGATGACTAGCGAGACAAAGTTTTCTTGTCAAAATGCGTCGAGTACCAAATACGATGAGTTTCAAAGCAATCGAGTACCAAAGTATGACTGTCCTGTTGCAATTTGCACCTCTTAGGAACAGGCAATGTTTAAAAAGTGTGAATTGTTAGAAGCTTTATTTCAATATTGACCAGGTTTCCAAGCATTTATGCCTGACTTGGAGAGCTGTGAAGTACAAAATATTTCAATCAAGGATGGGCAAGATGTAACCATCTAGGTATTATTGAACACTCACCACTTGTGAAGATGAGGAGAACTGTAGTCCGATAATATCCATGAGCCCCTGCTTGGTCCTCTCTAATCAAGACAATTATGCTCCAATTCTTACTTATTCTTCCTGGTTTTCTGTCTGAAGTGACAGTTCCCCCATTGCATTCTGGGCTTGTAATGATTAGATAGACCCTGATTCAATTCCCCATCTACTCATGGAACTCTACTACTTTTGGACTACTATAGAGTTGCTTTACAGACTGAGAGAGATGGGATATAATTTTAGTAAATAAATACTATACTTCAAACAATTTCTTAACCGAGTCTGTCTCACAGGAGTGTTGTGAAGATGAAACTGAAGGGGAAATTCTGTCTTGAGCTTCTAGAAGAAAGCCTAGATCTAAATAAAACAAACAGTACTATTTGTTTCAAATATTATTCAGAGTCAAATGGTTTCATATCTGTTCACTGAGAATGTAATTGTGGTGTGCTTGTCAACATTTTTGCCACAGGCTAAATAAATCAGAATTAAATGTTTGTAGGGTGTCTCTATGGAGTAGTATTGGGCACCTATACGCCTTGCTGTGCATGTGCATCTTGGGTTGGTGATTTTATTTTATACAGTGGGTCAAGAGTTAACTTTAATATACCCATTGAATTAGAATAATGTATCATCTTACTCCATCAAGAAGCTTGGTTGGAAAAATCAGTCTACCACACTACATAAAAAACAAATCAAACCAGAGGTACCCAGCATGAAACTGCTTGCACTTATATAAAAAGCTTTCCACATCAAAGCCTAAATAAATAAATAAATAAATAAATAAATGTCTTATCCATCCAAAGCGTTCAGGAGATCCAACATTTAGTGGGTTGTTCCATAAGAGACTAAAGAGAAGTGGATCTGTGGTAGTCCTTGCCGTTCAGAGTCCTGAAGAAGACTCTCAAATGGTTCTCTTTTTCTGTGTTCATATTACTATTGCACACTCACTGTTTTTTTTAATATGGAAGAAAAGCAAGGGGAAAAGATTAAAAGAAAAAAGAAAAAAGAAAAGTTGATTGGAGTGAAAATACCATTTAATTCAAAAATTTAACTGAACATTCTGTAGAAATTGCTGGGTGGTGGTGGTGGTGATTTCAGTGTCATTTCAAATATTATGCTGACCTACTGAGTTCAACAGGTAAAGGGGAGCAGGTGAATAGAAACAATGAGGAGGGGTTTTCAGACTCCGAGGGTTCTCCCAGCTGAGCTCTTTCAATTTCAGTTCTCCCCAATCTCTTATACACTGAAACCAGTATTTCCCAGTTTTTGAAACAAGGCTATTAAGAAGCAGAGACTATTCTCCTCAACTATTCTGCTCCATCTCACCCATCAATTCCCTATAAATTAGATCAATCATTTCTCCAGTTCTCAGCAGTCTGAAAGAAACTCAACAGAAAGAAAGTTGTAACTCCTTGGCATTAAGTATGTTTGCATATTTATTTGTTTTTTTCAACCAATATAGTTGCCCAACTCACAATGACTCTGGGTGGTAAAATAAAATTAAAAACAACCATACAAACAATACATATCAAAACAAAAACAAGCAAAACCTGGCAAGCTAGGTCATTGATTTTGTTCCTTCTAGAGTGAAGATGAAAAAATGCAAAGAAGACACTGAAGCTGCAATCCAAAGAACACTTATGTGTTAAATATATTGGAAGCAGAGATTTCAGTTACCCTTGCTTAACTTCAGATGGCGTTCTCCAGACTGAAGATGGTCCACAACAGGGGTGTCAAACTGCCGGGCCACAGGCTGGATGCATCATGGCAAAACCACGCCCACCCCATTGCAAGCAATGGAAAAAAGGTCACAATACATGGCAACACGTCACATGACACCCCTGGTCTACAACAACCAGGTATTTGTGGCTCATCAATAAACCTGTAGCAACCCTTCCCCTTTTTGCACTTTATTCAGGAAGGAAAAACAACTCCACCTATCAATCATAGTCAGAGCTTGGTGTCACCTTGATAAGTTACAGAGGCTTCTTCTGAATAAATGAGTTTAGGAAGAATCAATGTAGCTATTATCAAAACCGAGCATCTCAGAAGTGCTGTAACAAAGTTCCAACAGGGAACCTATTCAACTGCCACTCTAAAGCAACAATTTAAACTATTTGTTATTCCCTTTCCAATCCCAGTTCCTACTGTTTTAACACTAGTACCTCCCACAGTTCAGAGACCTGAAGTATCTGAAATTGCTCTGAACCTGCTTTTATGGACTCACAGAAGCTCTCATAAGCTAATGATACATTATTACAAGAAAGCACACTTTCCTCGTGTCTAGTTGTAGATGCACACAAGGAAACAAACAAAAGCCTATTTATTCAAGCTTCTTTTCCAACTCAGGTGCTTCTTTATAAGCACATATTGTACAGCGAAATAAGAGTCAACTTAATCCCCAGCCTTGTTGCTTGCATTTAAGCAAATGTGGATCCTATTTTTATGCAGACATTTTCCCCCTTTTTTTGACGGCTTGTTGAAACTCCACACAACCTAATACATTCCTTGCCAAGACCTGCTTAGAAGATACTTGTGAAAACATTATTACAGTGAAATATTCTAGCAGAAGTGTTCCGTTGGTTTTAGAAGGACATAGTTCAAAGTGTGTTTCTTAGTAGAGTTTAAGTAAGAGAGATGGGTAGCTTGCATCTATTTCCTTTTGTTTCCTGGCCACATCAAGCAATCGGTTGCCTAAAACGCTGATGATTGACCCAGCCCTGTTCTCACACTGGGCTACAGAAGATCCCAATATGCAAGTGAGCCAGTTCCCAATTGCCTTTTCGTTTTATTCCCCTTCTGGCTGCGAAACAAGTTGAAAAATCAAGCCAGTTCTCCGAATCTATACAAAAGTGACCTGGTTCTTGAACTGCCTACCACGCTTTCAAAAGCCCCGATTAAGAGTCGTGGGGACTAACCCCGCAGTAACAGTCTCTATTCGAACAACCACCGACCGCCAACTTTGACTAACCCAACTCTTTATCAGCCAGACGACTGGCGCGGCAAAGAGGGAGGATCACAACCCGGCAACGTTGCTCTCGCCTTTGCCCGACTGGTTGCTTAGCGATTGTCCTACGGAGCTCGCCGCCCCCTTGCCTCGCAGCCCCCGGCTAGCCCCAAAGGCGTTTCTCTATAGCAGACCCGGGCCGGCAGGCAGCCTGGCGTGCGCGGGAAAAAACTCTCTCCTCCGTTTCGCCTGCAGCCTCCCCCCACACACACACACACACTCCGCCGCCCGCCCGCCAGCCCGCCCGGCAGGCAGGGCTGCTGCCGCCCCCTCAGCCGAGCGCGCGAAGCCAGGCAGGCACTTTTGCCTCCCCTCCTTAGGAAAAACAGGATTTCCTACGAATAGGGCAGAACGGGAAGGCGGCGCAGGGGCCCGCGGCGGACCACCCTTTTTTTGGGGGGGGGGAGCGACTTCTCCTTCCCCACCTTTTCCGAAAGGAATTTGCACCCCCGGAAACGTCAGCGGGCTTCACGAGACAGGCCGGACCCGTCTCGTCGGGTCTCTAGAAAGGGAGAAGAAAGCCGGAAAAGGGGTGGGGGGGGGGAGAGAAAGAAGAACATCGAGGCATGCCGTTGCAGGGCAACTGCGATTACCTTAGCAACCGAGAGGCTCGTCGATGCGTCCCCTTCTGCTTTTCAGATTTCGGCTGGGCGGCAGAGCCCAGCCTGGCGCATAGCCGGTGGGGGTGAGGGACAAGCGCGGAGAAAGCGGGCGGAATGCAAAGAGCCTCCTCGCGGCTTCTGCGGGGCTCTCTTTCGCTCCCCCCGCCTCTTCAAGACACAGTCGGTCTGCTTGGACGCGCCTACCGGCGGACAAACAAGGTAAGTCAGGGCTGCGGCGGGGGGCTCCCTCGCCGAAGGTGGACCCTGAAGGACTGGAGAAACCCAGAAGGACGTGCTCCGCGGTCACTCCCGCCGCGGCTTTCCGCTGCCCGCCGCCTCTCCCCATTCGCTCCAGCCCTTGCACATACTCTCCGTCGCTTCGGCTAGCCGTGAGAAAACCGCTCGGGGTTTTGGGCGGACTGAGAGGCGGACACCGAAAGCGAAGCGAAGGTTCCAAGTCCGAGGTTTCTCCTGGGCGAAGCAGTTGACTGCAGTGGCAGCAGCTCCCTCTACAGGCCGCGAGGAGGATTGCGACGTTTTTGTCTCTGTCTCTATGGGTCTGTGTGTGGTTTTGTGGGTTTGTTGTTTTTTTTTCTCCCACCTGGTGACAGACGGGGCGAGAGGCTCGGCGGGCGAGTGCCTTGGCCTTATATGGAGCAGCCTAACCAGCGATTCCTCCTAACCGCTTCCTTGGGTAATTTAGATTTCCGCAGCTGCCTGTATGGAAGAAGCCGATGGTCTTGCATTCTGCAAATGGCCGGGAGGAGGCTGAAGCTCTCGCCAATGACTGTGCTACATACAGGCCTGACAACTTGTGGGCCGGGGGTTACAGGAAACGTAGTCTAAGATGCTTGGGGATGGTGAAGTCGGGGAAAGTGAAAAGGTGGCAGCCTTTGAACTTCCATCAGAGCGAGCAAGAGTTACTTATCAATGTGAAAAGTTCAATATTTAATCCTCCTATTTTGCCCTTAACAAGTCTATTGGGCTGAGAGAGTGAGTGAGTGAGTGAGTGGCCCAAAGTCACCTAGCTGATTTCATGCCTAAGGTAGAACTAGCACTTCCAGTCTCCTGGTTTCTAGCCTGGTGCCTTAACCACTAGACCAAACTGGCTCTGTAAGCCACGATCTATCAATCCACTGATCTGAATAAAGCCAGATGTGGCTTTTTTGTGATTAAGCAAATCTGTTAAGGGGAAAGAGTGGAATTGCTTTTGATTGTGCTGTGTGCTAAGAATCTTGCCATTGGAAACATTGTGGGGGCTTTCCTTGCTTGCGGACCATTTAATGCAGGGGTCTTCAAACTTGGCCCTTTTATGACTTGTGGACTTCAACTCCAGAATTCCTCAGCCAGGCACGCTGGCTGAGGAATTCTGGGAGTTGAAGTCCACAAGTCATAAAAGGGCCAAGTTTGAAGACCCCTGACTTAACGTCTTCTACTTGAAAGTATTTGCAGAAGACAAAAATTTCCTTGAAGAAATCCTGCAGGTGAAGCTGCAGATTGCTTCCCTGGTATCAGGAGCAGGCTGGATTGAAGGGTTGACAGTCACCTTTGCTAAAGAAATTCTTCATAATCTGAAAGCCAGGAATGAATTACAGGTAATCCTCGTCTTACAACCTCAGTTGAGTCCAGAATTTCCACTGCTAAGCAAGGTGGTTGTTAAGTGGGTTGTGCCCAATTTTACAGCTTTATTTTGCCACAGTTGTTAAGCAAATCACTGCAGTTGTTCAGTGAATCTGACTTCCCCCATTGTTTTTGGTTGGGAAGATTGTAAATGGCAGTCACATGACTCTGGGATGCTGCAACCATTGTAAACACATGCTGGTTGCCAAGCGCCTGGATTTTGATCCCATGATCATGGGGATGCTGTGACAATTGAAGGTGTGTGGACTTGTGGGCCACTTTTTTCAATGCTGTTGTAACTCTGAATGGTCGCTAAACAAATAGTTGTATGTGGAGGATTACCCGTATGATTTCTACACAGGGAGAAACATATGTCACAGGATTCAAACAGGATGCAGTGGCTTTAAACTCCATTTTGAAACCAGTACTGAAATCTGTACTTTCCGATGAGCACACTCAAAATGCTCCGTGCAGTTTTTCATTTACAAGGATGCTCGAGTCTGTTTTGGACAAAAGTGCGCATTCTTACTATTATATTTTCATTATTGAGCAAATATCTGTTTTACATTTGAGTTAGATTCATAAGTTCAGAAAGGATTCGGTAAAATATCTTCAGTGGGGGTTATTCAGCCTCTAATGGAGAGTTCTAGTGGAGGACAACATACTACTGCATAAATATCCTTTTCCACTGGTTAACGATGAAATTTACAATTAGTAATAATTTATCTAAGCTGAAATCTGTACCTTCTACCCATTGATTCTCATCATTCCCCCAAGATTACAGAGAATAACTTTACTCCTACTTACCTCTGATACTACTTTAGATATCTAAAAATTGATATTACACCTTTCCCCAGTCTTCTCTTCTATAAGCTGAACATACCTAAATGTTGTAACTTCCTTATAGGACTTGGTTTCCATCCCTTTGACATCTTAGTAGTCCTTCTCTGAACATGATCCAGTTTGTTAATTTCTTGTGTTCATCAGAACTGGACACAATATTGAAGGGAAAGTGACCAAGGCGGACTAAAATGGTAAACCTTTACATCATCCTATCAAATATTCTTCCAACCTATGCTTTCCCAAAAGAATAAAATTACTCTAAAGAGAGCATTGGGCATCAATCTGAGGATTTTTTTTTTTTTTTTTTTTGCTTTAGAGCTATCATTCATTTATTTAGGAAATGTATATTACTGCCCGTCTTAAGTATATAACTCTGGGCATCAAGATGATATAAAAACCATAACACATTACAAGGAAGAAAATGTAAAGAATTATTGGATGAGAATGATTTTTAATCATATCCCAGGTTAAAGGGCAGCAATAGCAATAGCACGTAGACTTACATACCGCCCCCTAGTGCTTTACAGCACTCTCAAGAGGTTTACAGAGTGAGCACATTGCCCCCCAACAATCTGGGTCCTCATTTTACCAACTTCAAAAGGATGGAAGACTGAGTCAACATTGAGCCAATCAGTATCAAGCTTCTGGCAGTGGACAGAGTTAGCCTGCAACACTGCATTCTAACCACTGTGCCCCCACCGCTCAGGATAGATACCATCTGTCTGTTGCTACCCACTGATCTAGTCATATCTCAGTCTGCATTAGGGACATTTTCAGCACCAAAGATATTATTAGAGGTGATCACTGTATCTAATAGACAAACAAACCCATAATTAGTCTTTATAAATATTAGTAATTATTAAATCAATTTGATAAAAATAATTTAAAAACTAATCAGAACAAAGATTTAGAGATCCCCATTTTCTAAACAATGGGAAATTGTCTTAAACATCTATATCAAACATTTCCATAGATCTTAGATTTCAGCCTATCCAATGAAAACATTTTGAACCGTTGGTAAATCTTGCTTGATAAAATGAGATACAATGAGAATAATACTACGGGGTTATTGGTACTCTTTGGGTGTGATTGTTTTTTTGCAACCAACCCCGGAGAGCAGCAAGGACCCACAGTTCAACCATGAGCTACAAACATTCTCTTCTATCAATAAAACCTCATTTTCTGATGTCCTAAATTTTTTCTATTATGCATATTAACTTTATTTTAAGACAGGGTTTAATATATATGAACACACATGTTCTTATGAATTACATGGCTATTACATGTAATTTGACTGCTGGGTGACATAAATTCTCCATATGCTTCTTACTGCTAGGAGACATGGTCCTTCAATATTGTGACGATAAATTTATGGACCAGTTACTCAATGGATTGAAGACCTGGTGTTACCGGTAAAATATGATAATGTCCCTTACAGATATACATTAGGTATGGACTGTAAGATGTGGTCATTCCGAAAGTTTTACAAAGCATTATTGACGTAAATATATGTTATACACATACAGTATGGGAAGCCACCCAGAGTAGCCACACAGGGAGATGAGGGGCAAAGAAATTTAACAAATCTATATTATTATATAAATAAAAATGTAAATGTTCGTTTGTTCAAAATCTTAAATCTCTGAAAGTTCTTCAACGATTGCTTTGAAATTTTGACACAATGTTGCATTCGAATACGCACGTGTTTTTATATACCTACTAGATATCACACCTATAGATGTCACATCTGTGACAGGTAAAAACATGCTTCTTTTCAAAAACAGCGCCGGCAAACCAGATAATCTCTATATCTGCACAGACAATGGAACAATAAAAATATTGTATACCCACAAGCATTGTGAAATTAAACATATTACAAACGTGCGCTTTCTCTTTTCTTTCTTTTCCATTTAACCAGACTCAGCCACAGCAACACGTGGCTGGGTACAGCTAGTAAATAAATAAATATCTATATTGTTGTTTTGCTTTCTTTTTATTTTTCCATTCTATGTTTGAATAAAAAAAGGAAACATACACACAGAGCCACAGAACTCCCTGAATTGATGAACAAGAAAGAATCACTTAAGTACAATGCTGCTTAAGGCCCCAGTCACTCCTAAATTCCAGGAAGTGACAAATTTCTTCGGTTCTTGGGAAATCCACCAGGTAACCTCTGAAAATCAAAAGGCTATATTAGACTCCTGCTGTGGTTCAATCAAATAGATCTCTGCCCCATGCTGTAGTATAGGACTGTTCCATAGGGGTCATAAACTGCCCTGGCTATAGTAAAGGAAAGACTTTAATGTTCCTCAGCTTCAGTCTGCATCCACCCCAGGATAAAAATTACTTCTTACAGGCGGCTAATTGCTAGCCTTATTCCATATTGTCTCTATAGTACCGTTAAGTTCTCAGGAAAGTGCTTTGGAAACCCATTTACTGAGACACATTTTAATCTGATTTTTAAAAGACTATTAATTTATTAAGTCCCTTTGCAATATTGGGAAAGTCACATCAATATCCGAAACCTCTAAAATAATACAGAAATAGGAGTGGGCAGTACAAGAATTTCAAAATAATAGTACATAATAAATCCATCCTGTATTAGAACCCAGCAGAATTATTATATTCTTTCAAGCTGCAGTTGCTTTACTGCTCAGATATAATAGTAAACAAACAAAAAAAAAAACCCTCACCTTTCCATTATACAGCAAGATAATGTGTCACATTGACTCTGGCAGTATTCCAGTTTGATTTATTTATCTTGAAAAACTTAATGCAGTACACCAGTGTTTCTCAACCTTGACAATTTTAAGGCATGTGGACTTCAACTCCCAGAATTCCACAGCCAGCATTGCTGGCTGTGGAATTCTGGGAGTTGAAGTCCACATGCCTTAAAATTGTCAAGGTTGAGAAACCCTGCCGTATACTGTACATGATTTTTTTAAAAAGAAAAACCTGTAAATTACCTGCAAAAGGGGGTAATATCTTCTTTCTAAAATAGCCTGTACAGGACCAAAACACATTTATCATCACATGTTTCTGAGCCTTGCAGCCATGCATCCAATTTTCTGCACATATCCTGGAGATTTAAGAGAAGGGCTGTAAAGGAAAAAAGGCTATAAAACGCAAAGATTGAAATAAATTTGTTGAAAGAAGGGCATGAATTAATTTGTCCTACCATTTTCTGGCAGGGTCTGAATTAATTTGTCCTGTCAAAGAGAAAAGGGCCAGCCAGTTGTCAGGGACTGGGCGGAACCAAGCCGGTAATAACTGGGGATTTGGTTAATGGCGGCAACTGGCAATGCAAGTATTGTTGTCGCTAAACGATGTAATAATGTATCATGTTTTACAACCATATCACTTAGTGATAGAGATTCCAATCCTAATTACCATCATAACTCAAGGACTATCTGTACATACAGAGCCTTTCATACTTGCTGCCTTTGTTTTGCATTAAATCTTTTTATGGTATTCAGTGTCCATATCAAAAAATTTACCTGAATAGGACTGATGATTTGTTGCTGATTCAAAGTATAACTTCAGAATTATAGGAAATGTGGGAATATAAACTTATTTATGTAAAGTTGCTTGCTTATTTGCTTGCTTCCTTGCTTAAAAAAAAACCCTCACATTTATTATTCTAATTTTTTGTTTCCTGTGACTAAAACTACATTTCATTGGCCAAGGAAAAGATGCTGTTGAAAGTGATAAAAACAAGGTTATGGATATATATATTTAATTCTATCAGGTATATTTAGAGCATTTAATGACCAGCTATCATCTTTTGTATTTATGTAGAGAATTTTTTTAAAAGCATTTTATACAACATTGTC